TCAAGGTCCAGATCTAATGTATATGCTTCAAAGAGACTCCACATACTCCAATACTCAACTAAAAAGGGGGCAAAGAAACCTTAGATTCATGAGATCTACTAATCATATGAAAATAGGCATGGATTCAAACCTTAAGCAACAATCTTGAATGAAATGGTAGAAGATCTGAGCCCCTCAAGCCAACCTAGCTTGAATCCCCGCTTTCTTCCTTGCAAGAATGCACTAAAGTGATAAAATTAGCTCCCTCTCTTTCTCTATGCTCTGTGGTTCGATTAGGGTCTCTCAAGGGTATGTGTGGCCGCAAATGACGACCATAAGGACCTTAAAATAGGGCACAGGCCCAAAGATTTAGGGTTTCTGTCCACAGCGTAGGCTCATCGAGTCGACTCACCGATTTGTCAAGTCCGTTCATTAATCTGAGTCATCAGTCGTGATGCTACTCGACGAGTTTAGCCGCCAACTCGTCGAGTCCCCCTTCTTAACTCAAAATAAATACTCAAATTGTGATACCTGGAAATCCGGATGTTACACATCCAAAGCCCATAAATCCTAGATCTAGCATACAATAATCGAATCAACATAAGAATTAAGGTTTAGATATTACCTTGATTCTTATGTAGCAATAGCAATCATAAACCTTCTTGATCTTGACTTCTGAAAGCCTAGCGCCTCAAATGTTGCACCTCTAATGGAGTCACAAACACCATGAGCAAGAAGATGACGTAGGAGAGGGAGGAAGAGGCACCAAAAACATCTAGGGTTTTCTTAGAAGTGTTAGCCATATTTTTTAGAGCCTTAAGGGTCCTTTTATACTTGTGTGGTCTTCTAGGGTTTCATATGAAACCCTAATTCTCTTCTTAGGCCTTAAGCAACCCATGGAGTTCCCCTAGAAAGCCCTTGGATGAAAATCATATGGGCTTCCCATAGATTTCGTCTAATGCCCTTTCCATTAGGAATCCATAGCCCAATTTGCAACTATCATATAATTGCAATATCAATCCTTTTATTTAATTAATCTCTTTTAGCCACAAAATTAATTCTTAATTAATTCTTGACTAATATTAAGTGCTTAATGGAGCAGGGTAGCCAACTAGGGAGTACCCTAGGTGTACTAGCCCCAGAGGGAGTACGCTAAGTGTACGAGCTGAGTACGTACTTAGCAGGTGGGCTTCGGATTTGGGCTTCTCGGTTTTTAGCCCATGTTTGGACCTTAGGAGATTAGGGACTTGTTGGGCCATCAAATTTCTATTTTTGGGCTTATGCTATTATATTGGGTTCTTTTGGATGAAGGCCCACGACGAGATTTGGGCCCAATTTGGAAGATTGGACCATCTTTGGGCATTGGGTGATCATTTTGGAATTTGGTCTTTTGTGTAGTTGGATTGGGCCTTGGTCTTGGACCAAGTTAGATAAAGGGTAAATTGGTCTTTTGCCCTGATGATGGGCCCGATGGTTTAGACTGATGGTTATGGATTAAAATCAAGTTATATATATATATATATATATATATATATATATATATATATATATATATATATATATATATAAAACCTATGAGATTATGCCACCTCATGCTTATATGTAGGACAAGAATCAAATCAAACTTTGAACTACATGATGATTATTAAAAATACATGAGAAATTTTTTCATACTAGCAAAACATATTTTTTTTTTACCTTTTTATTATGAAAACTTGGATTTAAAAGTGGTTAAGGACGTGAAAAATGGTTGTTAAAACTAACTTTAAATCTATATATTACCGTAACACCCTCTCATGTAAACTTATTATCTGTAATTTATTGCTAATAAATTTCATTTCTGAAGTATATGTATTTAATTTTTAGAAGATAAAATATGTTTTTGTATTTTCGTAAAATATTTATGTTTTCACATGGACATATATATATATATATATATATATATATATATATATATATATATATATATATATATATATATATATATATATATGAAAGGGACCCATTTTTGTGTTCTGCCTCAGGACTCAAATTGTCTTGGAGCGGCCTTGCGAACCATTTTTGTAGCTTTGTCAAAAAAAAAATTATATATGAAAATCCATCGAAGTATGGTTTTTGTAATTTGTTCGTCCTATAAGACAAACTAATTTTTATTGCTTAATTTTTGATATATTGTTGCTACAAGGAGGATATTACACTAGGTGTAGGTATCCAAATTTGATTCATGTGTGATTAGACTTGTTTATATGGCTTTACCTTGAACTATTGACAAAAATGGTGTTTTTCAAAATTTTATTTACCAAATAAATATAGTTTTAAAAATATTTACTAAATAGGTGTAGTTATAAAACTTTATGTATATTTTTTATTATTTTGTTTTATTGTTTTTTAAAATGTATTTTTGATTTTTTTTCAACTTTTTGATACTAATGTTTTAAAGGTCTTCGCCAAGGTGATCCACTTTTACCTTTCCTTTTTATATTAGTTATGGAGAGTCTCCATGTTGCTTTTTTGAATGCCATGGAAAATGGGTTGTTCTCGGGTATTTTTATTGGTTCCACTCCTACCTTAGTTGTTATTAGTTGGTTTATGCAAATGATGTTCTCTTTATTGCTGATTGGAAATCTTTGAATATGTATAATGTTATTCGAATTTTTCATTGTTTTCATATTGTTTTGGGTCTCAAGATAAATGTAAATCAGTTGGCATAGGTGTTGTTTAAGATTTGATGATCGAAATGGCTAATAATATAGGTTGTACTGCTTCTTTAAAGCTCCATTTCTCATATCTTGGTTTGGTGGTAATATGAATAGACATGGCGCTTGGTCAGATGTTTTGAGAAAAGGTGAATTCTAAATTATCTAATTGGAAAGTAAAAGCTTTATCTATAAGGGGAGAGTGACATTGTTGAAGTTGGTTTTGGGAGCCTTGTCTACTTACTTCATGTCTCTTTATAAGGCACCCCTTGGTGTGCTTACGAAGTTTGAATCTTTATGGAATAAATTCTTTTTAGGGCTAATATGGAAGAAAAATATGAAGTGGTAACATTCCTTAACCGAAAGCAAGTGTCTTCCTAACACTTTATCTAACGAAAATTGCTAATTTAGATACATATATTTATTTATTTGATATTAGGATTCCGTTAAGTGCCACGTACAACAACTCGAGGACCTTCGTTTCCAATACGACGCTTTCCCACAACAAACGGTCAGTTCATACTCTTACGCTTTTATGGTTTTTAAACGTTTTCAATGGGGGAATACAAGCCAAACACAAAAGATCTTGTGGACTAATACAAAAAGGGTTTCGACAAGATTAAAACTTATGCAATTAATACACTCCAACGAGTTTCATAAAATATATAGATATTTTATCCCTTTTATATTATGTGGAGCATAAGGGATATTTTCTAAACATAATTGCATAGTTTTCAGAACAATTCAGGAACATAACATTTCAGTCAAGCTATAATATGTATCGTTTGGGGAATTTATTACCAGATTTACCGATACACACTATTTACTTGGTCAATCATATAAACTATGACAAATTTAGTTTATGATATTCATTATTACACTCAGATAACAAGAGTATAACACTAGATAATTATTCTGCGTATAATTATTTATACTCTACCAGGTATACAAATGATTTCGGTTACGAGAACACGCTAAAGAACATGTAAATTAGTTAATACATGATTGTGAGACATCTCTTCATTATGTACCCTTCGGGGTATTGGTTAAATCCTCGAAACTTAGTATAGTCAGAGTCTCCTCGAGGGAGAGCGTGAGATTTGTGAATAGATCTATTCATGACTGATAATCCCACACCTAAACTTCTAGCTACAGTAGGCAGGCATGCTTGGGGTGACAAATATCATACCGTACGACGACTAAAGAAACGTCGCTGAGATCACTAGTCATATCAAGCATGGTTATACGAACTCATAATAGTATAAACTAACCTTTGTTTATGGGATTTCATTCTTTACAAGTTTTATTTTGAATAATAGAATGTACTATACATACTGGTGGTAGCCAGAGTTTTCAAACAAGAACTTACTATACATGCTGGTGGTGGTAACCAGGGTTTTCATAACATAATACAGTAATGAGCATATATGTTAGAAAATATTGTATTTTCTTGGTAAACATACATACATTTTACAAAATTATTAACATGTTTTCATTACAAAAACATGCTTACGAACTCACCAGCTTTATGCTGATACTCTTTCAAAAACTGCTTGTATTCTCAGAAAATCAGTAGACATATACCTCCTGGAGTTTTGAGAAGACGGAGCGTATAGAGTCACGTCTTTTATATTTTGTTATATTTTTGTTGTATACAAACAATGAATCAAACAATTGTAAATAATCATATCTCGATGTAATGGTTGTATTTACTTTGATTACTATGATGCAATTGTTGTGATACTACACATCACGTCATCCACCCCCGAACATTTCCGCCTTCGGTTTGGGGTGTGACATATGTGGTGGATTAAACTTTCATAAATATATATTAGGTATATGTCATTTTTTAATTTATGATACCAATGATTAACAAATTAGTAATTTTACATTTCCTAACGTATTAGTTTAATTATATATATATATATATATATATATATATATATATATATATATATATATATATATATATATATATATATATATATATATATATATATATATATATATATATATATATATATATATATATATATATATATCAGGAATAAAACCATTAAGATTTCTCAACAATACATACATTAATACATACCTAAATTCAACCAAATACATTTTCTAAATCCATTGTACCCTTACAAACTTTTCAAACACTCTTTCTCAAAAACATATCTAATGACATTGTTTCTAGTTTTTTCTTTTAACCAAAATACTTCCAATACTCACAAAGTTTCCAAAATATGATGATATATTCACAAATAAATAAATAAATAAATAAATAAAATCAAATAAATAAATAAATAAAAATAAATAAATACCCTTCCCATCTCAATCCTCCTTTCCTGTCAAGTACCAAAACCAAAAGCTCCAATGATTTCTATCGAAACAACCTAAAATCAATGTTGATGCCTCTTCAAGGTAAGATCGAGGTGATTCTGCTAATCAATTAGATTCTATATGGTTAATTGAAAACATATTTTTCTCAAAATGATATGCATCTGTTTAGATCGATGTGTTTCTCTCCTCTGGAAAATACATTTTTTTTGGTTAGCATCTGATTTACCCTCTCTTTGGGATTAAAATCAAGATTATTCAAGGAGATCTAGCTGATGCATATAACTAATTACAGGATGACTTACCAACGCATTGCATTTCATTGGATTGCTTTGGGTCAAAAGGTCCTGTCTTCACTGCTACCGCTGCTTGCTGTGTCCGGACCTCACACCTCGCAGCCGGAAGAGACGAGGAAGGCTTCGCTGCTTCTTCACGCTCTCCATCTCTTCGGATCCCATCGACCCTCGCTGATGCCCTACCCCATCCCGTTCTTCCCTTCGGCCCGTCGAACCCAGGAGACCACATCGGTTTGCGAAGCCGACCAACGAACCATCGCTGCTTCTCCCTCCCTCCTCTTCGGCCTCGTCGACCACCGAAAATACTCCCTCTGACGAAATTGCCACCACCGGACCAAGAACCACCACCATCACTTTCTTATTTCTTCAAATCAGATGAAAACCGGATTAGCATCTCGGATATACCCACAGCCGATGCCCATCGGGGCTGCTTCGTTGGTATCCCTTCTTCTTTCTCGTTCCCGATCGATTGAAAGAAAGAAGGCGACTCTTTCCATTCTTGGATCCCTTTTGATCGACTGAAGAGTGAAAACGGGACTTGACCTAAAAACGTATTTGTGATTTTGACCAAGTCAAAGGTCAAAGCAAAATCAAACTTTCATTTAAATTAAATAAAACTAACCCTCCTCAATTGACAAAACTTTATCAAATCAATCCCAATACATAAACAATGATTCCATTTATTCAAAATCAACCTCTCATTTGTTTTTTTTGTTTTTTTTACCGAAACACCCCTAACCAATCTAATTAAATTACCAAAAAACCCATATACTTTAGCGAAGTTACAAATCAGTCCCTGATAGTTCAAATTTGCTAAAAACGGTCCCAAAGGTGTTTCAAAGTTCAAGAAACGTAACATTTGCGTTTCTCACGACAAGCATCTCAAAGAAATCGAATTCGAACAAATGGAATCCACGCTTCAAGGGTGAATGCTTATGACCCCTTTTTAATATTTTAATTATTTCGGGGGGAATACATGTGCTTAAATGTTTTGTTTATACAAATCAATTTCTTTTTTACGCGAAAATATAATAAATCTAGTTTATAAAAATATTATTATTTAACAATTTATCATATTACTATGAATAAACTAGTAGAACATTTTCTTATACGTATGGTTATTTTATCTTGAATTAACCATTTCACCAGGGCCGGTCCTGAGGATTCAAATGCCCAGGACGAACCGAATAAAAAAGGCCCTTAGTCCTTAACGTGTAACAAATTAAATTATATAAACTAATATTTTTTTTAAATGACGATAACCTTTATAGCAATAAAAATATCAAAACCATAGTAGTTAATAAATAATTGCATATCGTAGCAGTTAACCGATGATCCGTGAAGCTCTCCTAGCATTCTTGATAGCAAACTGGTTGAGCAACTCTTCGTAGTATATACCCTCTAAGATTTCGTTCTCGATAGATATCATCGCCAATCCGCTAAGTCTTTCTTGGGACATTGTGGAGCGTAAGTAAGATTTCAATAACTTTAATTTTGAAAAACTTCTTTCTGCAGATGCCACCGTTACTGGAATAGTCAACAATATTCTATATGCAATGCTTGCATTTGGGAAATAATCAAGTTCTTTCAAAAACCTCAAAACATCTACAGGGTTGCTAAATTCATTGGTTTCCAATGTCTCAAATAATTTCAACTCTGTATAAAGTTCCTCGGCATCAATATCTGATCTTTCTTCAAACGTGAGTGCTTTTTCAAGACGTTGACAAGACGACTTAAGATCTTTATTTTCAATTCCCCTCAACTTATGTGGAAATAAAAAACCAAATACTTTTTCATACTCTTTGAATTGTTCAAATCTTGTCTCAAGAGAAGAAATAGTTTGATCAACAATGTATAAGAAATAGTTGACTCTGAAATTCTCTTCTGGTGTAAATGAAACTTCTTCACTGCTTGAACTCTCATCAAACCTTTTTTTCCTTTCAATCAAACGCTTTTGTGGAAATATTGGATCAATAACCATTTCAATAGCAATCTCCTTAGCTTCACCAATCGCTTTTGAAAAACCAGTTTCTCTATAATCCTTGAAGTACCCAATCAATTTGTTTATTTCTGTAATAGCATTATCAAGATGCATATCCTTTGATTGTAAGCTTTTACTCACAATATTCACGTGGTTTAGTACTTGATGCCAAATAACAGTTGATAGAAAAAATTCAAAGTCACCAAGTTCTTTTTCTGCTAATGAAGTTGCTTCACTTGCAATTGCAGCATCATTATCTTTTTCTCCAACTTGAAGTAAAGCTTCTCGTACATCAACAAGTCGCAGTTTAATAGCCTTTACACTCTTAACCCGACTTTCCCAACGAGTTTAACACAATGACTTAAGACTCCATGCTTTAACATTATCTTTCAGAATTTCCCACCTCTTGGTAGAATTTGCAAAGATAGTATAAATGCGTTGGATGAATCCAAAAAAATTCTTTCCTTTAACACACTTGTTAGCCATATCACATAATGTTAGATTAAGAGAATGACAACCACAAGGAGTGTAAAATGCTCTAGGATTTATATCTAAAAATCTCTTTTGCACTCCTTGGTGTTTTCCTTTCATGTTTGCTCCATTATCATAGCCTTGACCACGCATATCATCAATTTCAAGACCAAGAGACTTTAACTCCTCAAGTGTAATATCAAATAGTCCTTTTTCCGGAGGTATCATCAACATTCAAAAAACCTAAAAAGGACTCCTCGACAGTAACAGAATTATATGATAACTTTAAATACCTCACTATTATAGTCATTTGTTCTTGGTGACTTGAATCAGGAGTACAGTCAAGTATGATTGAGTAGTACTTTGCTTCCTTTATCTTCTTGATAAGTTCCTTTTTAATTTCTTGAGCTATCAAAAGTATTAGTTCGTTTTGGATTGTGTGCCCAAGATAATGCAAATGAAGCTCGTCATTTGTGATGCGTCGCACATGCTCTTTGATAACCGGGTCAAACTCTTCCAACATTTCAATGACACCCAAAAAATTTCCATTACCTATTATACATTTTACATATAAGAAATGAAATCAGTCATAATAGTTAACAAAAAAGTATTTGTTGGAATTGAAATATATATATATATATATATATATATATATATATATATATATACAATCTATAGTTACCTTTTTGATACAACTTTTCATTTGATCCACGGAATGCTAAATTATGTTTAGCAAGAAACTTCACTACTGTAATGATTCTCAAAAGGACTTGTTTCCAGTAGTCTCTTTCTTTCTTAAACTGCTCATATTGAACTTTATCAATTGTTTCATTTAAGTTCAATCTTTTACGCATATCAAACCACTTATTCCTATTTGTGAGATGATCTAAGGAAATTTCATGTTCTTTAACTCTACTGGTAACATGGTGCCAATCTGAATAACCTTCGTCGCCCAATCTACCTTTCGAAATCCTTTTTCTAAACACTTTACAACAAAAGCAAAATACCCTATCGAGCTCTTTTGAATATACTAGCCATTCCCTATCACACTTCTCCAAATTTGATAAAGTTCTTGTATATAAAGCTGCAGAAAATCTTCTACCAGATTTATCGTAGGGACCATACATAATACTAGTATCTCTTTTAGGACCATTTTCGACCAAAAGTTTAATCTCCTCATAATTAAGTTTATCCCACCTTCTTGGATCACATATATCAATAAGCTCTTTAACGGGCTCTTTCTCTTCTGTCTCTTCTACTTCTACTTCTACATGTTCTTGGTGTTCAATATCATCTTCAACATGCTCTTCAACAGGCTCTTTAACATGTTGTCTACGGATAAACTTATCTAAAAAACCGACGTCGGCCTTTCTCTTTTCTTCATCTAGTTTTCTTTTTTTACGTTTTTGACTACCGGATGGTTGTTTAGACTTCATCACTACAAGTTCATTACTTTCAAGTTAGAAATTAAATATGATATTGTATAAATGTTTTATAATCTATCACTAAAGTTAATAAGGTAGTATCAATGTAATGAGGAAATGTCATCACTTAAAAGTTAAAACAACATATTTGGTGTTTTATTAATTGAAGGCCTAACTATGATACAAACACAATTAATGATTATTAAAAGAAAAATGGATTGGTCAAAGTTGGGGTTTGATTGTCTCTAACTCTCCATGACCAAAGAGATTACTTACTTTATGTAATTTGGGGAAGGCTTATTCTAATTTGTGGTTACATCCACTTGCGATTCTGAGTTCACAGTTACAAATTTACAATCAAAGAAAGAAGTTATTTTAATCAAATTAGGAGTTCACGATTACAATCAATTAATCAAAGCTAATAAGTGCTAAATGAAATTGTGATTTCTAGTTTAAGAGTTTTCTACCTTATGAGTTATGAATAATCAATTACCTTGAATACTTATTGATTTATGAACAATCAATGTTGTAATCAATTAATCAAATGTGTAACTGCCAAATGAAATTGCGATTTCTAGTTAAGAGTTTTCTACCTTATGAGTTATGAATAATCAATTACCTTGAATGGTTATTGATTGATGAACAATCAATGCTTTTGGAATGCCGTCTACTACGAATTGGTAACCTTCGATGCTTTTATTGAGTAAATACTAATGTTTTCTTTTTGTTCCCTAAATCCTCTACGTGTGGACTAAGGAAAATAATTATCATGGTTTTTAATTTGGGCTGATGCAATTGAATATACTAACAAAAAAAAAAAAAAAAATTGGCCCCTTAAAAAACAAGGCCTTGTGCAATGGCCCTTCTTGCCCCCTCTTACCACCGGCCCTGCATTTCACACAACAAATACAACACAATACAAAATTATATGATTTTCATGTGACATTTCAAATTATAACAAGCACGTTATGAAACCATGTAGTATTTCAAAGAATCAAGTTATTACTATGAATGTTCATTTAAATGTTTAAGTACACAACGTTTATACATGTACATATGTTCATTAATTTGAAACAACTATTTTTATATAAGCGAGTACATTACACTTTTACACACATGTCAAACATACCCAAATTTTATAAACATTATATAACGATATTCATTATGCCTAGAAGTTACCCACAAGTAAGTTAGGGTTGAGAGTTATTCACTATTCACAAACTTTTTAGTATAGGACTTTTTAATGAGACATTACGCTATTCATTAGCCAAGTTTAAACACTTAGCATACTCACACTATTGTAACCGTTAATCTTCGGAGCGAGATAAATATGTATAGATCTATACGGGGTTGACATCCTCACTTGCGGTTACTAGCTACAACCCTCAACCGATCACTTGAAGCGGGTGATAAATGTCTACAATTTTTATTACAACATCCAATGAAGCATTATAGGAGGGTACAGTCAAGTCATATAGCTCGGTTATAGGACTCACTATAAACATTAAATAGAATATATCTCTCTCTTACTACAACCATGAGCTTGGTTGCTTTCAAAACTATTTTAAGTATGGAATTACTTATGTAACAATACAATTTGGTTCTCAAAGATATTCAAAGATTCTTTACAAACATAGTTTTTAAGTGTGGATTTAATTTCATATTCGAAATATTTTTCATAAAAATATTACTAAAAGTTGAAAAATCATACGTTTTCAGCTTATTTTAGCGCAAAAGTTTAACTCTCATTTCACAGAGTTTCATCTACCGGAATTTAATTTTGTATGCATTTTTGTAATCACCGTGACTTGAACATTAAGCGAACACTTTTAGAAAATTTATTAATCGGACACGAGAATCGAGGTATACTTCACAATGTGTGTGTATTCTCAAAAAATCAGTAGACATGTACCTCCTGGAGTTTTGAAAAGATGGAACATATAGAGTCACGTCTTTTATATTTTGTTATATTTTTGTTGTATACAAACAATGAATCAAACAGACGTAAATATTCATATCTCAATGTAATGGTTGTATTTACTTTGATTACTATGATGCAATTGTTGTGATACTACACATGACGTCATCCACCCCTAAACATTTCCGCCGTTTCGGTTTGGGGTGTGACATATGTCGTGGATTAAACTTTCATAAATATATATTAGGTATATGTCAATTTTTAATTTATGATACCAATGCTTAACAAATTAGTAATTTTAAATTTCCTAACGTATTAGTTTAATTTATATATATATATATATATATATATATATATATATATATATATATATATATATATATATATATATAGAGAGAGAGAGAGAGAGAGAGTCAAGATCAAATAAGAAGGAAATTTTTGGTAGGAAGGTAAGAAGTTTTTTTTCTACATATTTTTTTCGCGAACAAACAAAATGAATCATTAGATGATTCATTTGTAAGATGATTCACAAGAAAAAATTCTCAAAAAAACATCTCGATGATTCATTTATACAATGATTTTGTCGTTATTCACTAAAATTGTCATAAAAATGAATTTTTTCTTAATTTACTTAAAAATGAATCATAAAGATGTTTTTTTTTTTGGGAATTGTTTCTTGTGAATCATCTTACAAATGAATCATGTAGTGATTCATTTATTTTGTTCGTCAAAAAATATTTAGAAAAAAAACTTCTTACCTTCCTACAAAAAAAAATTTCTTACCGGATCTATATCCTATATATATATATATATATAATATATATATATATATATATATATATATATAGAGAGAGAGAGAGAGAGAGAGAGTTAGGTTCAAATGTTTTTAGAAAGTATTGTGTGCCTAAATGCACCAATGAGAATTCAAGAAATAATAAATAATTAAATAAATCATTTAAGGGTATTCTGGATATTTTTATACTTTTTAATTAAGGAATCATTTAATTGAAATCCTGCAATTAAGGAAATAAAATCAATATTTTTGACCTAGTCTCTCTCTTGCATCTTGTCTTATATTCAAGGAATTACCAAGATGAATAACCGACACCCGACAACACAACCGATCAAGACCTCGATTTCTTCTTTCTTCTTCCGGTCGATGCACACCACGTATAGAAGTAGTCGATCGCTTCTTTTTTTTTTCTGATCGCTTCTTCTGTATTACACATATCAATGAAAGTATGTGGCCACCAACGGAAAAGTAGAATGATTTATTGGAACGCTTTGCAGAAGGGTATGATCAGAACATTCAACAAAAGCCCTAATTTACATTTGTCGATAATCGAGTAAGTTTTTGTTATTTACTCCTCTATTTTCCGTTAGTGTCTAGAGTCATAATGTCTCTGTCTCCTGTTATATAATGAAAATAGTTCATCACTTGATTATTGTCTATAATATTTCCCGATCGATTCCTAAAATGTTATGTAAAGTTGTTTGGATTGTTTAAAGAGGAATTTAGTTACATGTTAGTATCAGTACTTCAATAACAATGAAAAGTTCATCAATCGTTTAGATGGATTGAATTACATCGCTCGATTATTCATTTTAACCTAATTTCGTGATAATCTCATTGTTCTTGTTATCATCATCATCTTCATCCTGATCAACCTACTTTCCCATTCAATCATTTTTTATTTCATCTCAAATCATGTCAAATTATCTAATTCATCTTCTTCAGATCCTTCCTTTGATCATTCTCATCCTTTATATAGCGGGTTCCAAACAATTTGGTGGATCAGAATTTAGGGCTCACCACTTTCCATGTAAACCCACTAAAAAGAGAGTAAAAAAAACCTAATACAAAAGGATTTTGTTATTGCATCTGATGTTTTTTCGATTTTGCTTAGGTTCTAACTCCATAAAAAAAAGGTAAAAAAAGAGAAACTAAAAACAGAAGAGTAAGCAGATAAGTAATAAATGAAGTATATTATGATTATATTCAACAGCATTAACCAATCAAAGTAACAAAAATATATACTCAACTGCGATCAGGATTCCTCCGTACTAACATGAGGTCACCGGCCTACCAAGTAATTTAAGTAATAATTCAACATATATATAAGAATAATCCAAATTTTAGAGGGACTGAAAACGCAACATAATTAAGAATTTGCATGACTAGACTGATTGAATCTACAATTGTACAATCCAAAAGCTCTAGTCCTGCTACAAAATTTTCTACATGCATCAGACGATAATGAAAAAAAAAAGTAAGGCGTTTTGCATGATTTGGTAAAATAGGAAAACATGTGAAACATGTATGGTTCTAAAACCAATTTCATTTCCGAATATATGTGGACCTCCCCTTGTTTTTCCACGTTTGGATCATTATATGCTCAGCTGAATCGACAATTGCATTGAACCACTTTGGTCTTCTTGTTGACAACATGACATATCCTATCAACAATCCAGGTAGGGTGCCACATCCATATCCCAGCATCACCATTTTCCACGTAAAACCACTCTCATCTTCATCTTCATCAACTTCAAACTGTGGAGAACTTGGATGTTCACATTGCTTGGGCAATGGAAACCCACAAAGCCCTAAATTCCCTCCAAAAGAGTTCCCTTCAAATGTGTTGAATTGTGTTCCTTGTGGAATACGTCCCACAAGATGGTTTTGTGAGACATTTAAGACTGCAAGAGTAGTTATGTCTGCAAGACTTTGAGGGATCTCTCCTATGAATTGGTTCCATGATAGGTCCAACGATTCAATCTGTGAGAGATTTCCTAGAGCATGTGGGATCCGACCATTGAGGTTGTTGTGGGAAAAGTTGAGTGCTATCAACGAGTTAAGATTACCAATGATGTTTGGAATCTCTCCTTCAAATTTGTTTCCGGATAGGTTTACAATCGTGTAGTCAACCAGAATTTTTGGAAATGGGAGTTGTTGACCTTTCACCACGACAATGATCGAGTAATACATGCCACCAGTGTTCAAATATTCTGGTTTGGTGTCTTTTCTTACCACATCCTTCATGGCATTGAAGTATTGGAAATATTTCCAAGGGAGATGACCTACAAACCCGTTATCAGATAAGTCGAGAACTTGCAGAAGTGGAAATGATATATTAATCGTAGAAGAGGTTCTAATATGTCCATGGAAATTATTTGATTTGAGAACAAGAACCTGCAACCATGGAAGATATCCTAACCATTCAGGGAATGTGCCATTTAAGTGATTGTTTCCAATATCAAGTACTTTTAAATGTCGACATTCTGACAAAGAAGTGGGCACCTTTCCTTCAAATTGATTGCCCTTCAAAACAATTCCCTCTAATTCTCCAAACTCCACACACACATTTGGAATGGTTCCATGAAAAAGATTGTTCCCCAAATCTATCATCCGAAGAGAGAAGCCGATATTTTCAATGCATTGCGGAATCACTCCATCAAATCTATTATCGGAGATATCAAGATATTCTAGAGTGATCATGTTGCAAATTGAAGGAGGGAATGGTCCTTGAATCTTGTTGGACTGCAAATACAATTGCATTAGTCTATCCGAATGGAACTGTGGCAAACCCGTTATGGAATTATTTGAGAGATCCAAATAAATCAACCCATTTCCTCCTATCTCTCCTGCCCAATCAGGAATGTCGCCCCTTATGTTGTTTCCAGATAGATCTAGACCTCGAAGATTTTTCATGGCTCGTAAGGACTTTGGAAACACATTTAGCTTGCTACACGCCAAATTTAACGTATGGAAATTAGGGTTGACATGGATGGTAGAATTATCGGTGACAACAGATAATCCACTATTAGAGAGATAGAGTGCTTGGAGGTTTGGTAGGCTTGATAACATTGTTTCTAATTCCCATAAACCTCTAAAATTATTCCATGAAAGGTCAAGGTGATTGAGGTTCATGAGCTCGATAAAAGATGGTAGAGTGGAGCCTTTATTCATCTCACCATCAAATTGATTACTCCAAAGGGATAATCTTTTTAATGATCGACACTTGAAGAATTCTGATGGCAAGCCTCCACTAAACATGTTATCACCAAGAAGAACATTTTCTAGAAAGGGAAGAGTAAACAAGAAAGAGGGCAATGTTCCATTAAGCATGTTAGATGCTAAATAAAGAGTAACAAGTTGCCTAAGGTTTACTAGGGAATTGGGAAGTGATCCCACCCAAACGACAATGGTAGAGTTGCAAGTATCTCAAGGACTTGAGATAGCCAATTGATTCGGGAATTTCTCCCGAAAAGTTGTTGTAGGAGAGATCCAAGTGTTTCAAAGACTTCAGACGACCAATTGAGTAGGGTATTTCTCCCGAGAAGTTGTTGTATGAGAGATCCAAGTAGTTCAAAGACTTGAGATGGCCAATTGAGTCGGGTATCTCTCCTGATAAGTTTGTGTTTGAGAGATCTA